TCCCCACCACGGTCCATCATGAAGCACATTCCCTCTTTGATGGCTTTGCAGTTATACACATAATGGTCACAATCAAGGTTGAGAATGAATGGACCATTTGACAACACGGCCGACGCTCGTACGAGGGCGTTCATGGCGCCTGCCTTTTTGTTGTGATCGTATCCGGGTCGTTTCTCACGAGATACGTATACGAACATTGGAAGACGAATGTCGACGTCTGTGAAGTCTATGATCTTCTCGTCTGTACTCCCCAGTAATGGGTCATGGCTTGGAGGCTTCAACATCACCTGTAAAATTAATTACATTAAGATTGTGATTGGGGAGGAGAAGGAAGCATTCATTATAAGGGTGTGGAAACCTCTCCTCAGTAGACGGGTTTTAAAAATATTGAAGGGAAGTCCAAAAGGGAAAACCTAAAGAGAATAATATTTGCTAGCGGTAGGCTTGGGTTGTTACAAATGGTATCAGAGCCAGATACAAAGGGATTTGCTAGTGAGGAGGCTAAGCCCCAAAGGGGAGTGGACACGAAGCGGTGTGCCAACAAGAACGCTGCGTCTCGAAGGGGGTTCTTCATAGATTGGAGAAGGGAACGAGTGCCAGCGAGGACACTGGGCCCGAGAGGTGAATTTTGAGATCCCACATCGGTTGGGGAGGAGAACAAAGCATTCTTTATAAGGGTATGAATATCTCTCTATCAGACCGTTTTAAAAACTTTGAGAGGAAGCCCAAAAGGAAAAGCCCAGAGAGGACAATATCGGCTAATGGTAGGCTAGGCTTGAGCTGTTACAAATGTTATCAAAACCAGACATGTGAGGAGGCTGATCCCCGAAGAGGGGTGGACACGAGGAGGTATGCTAGCAAGGACACTAGGCCCCAAACGGGGGAGAATTGGGGGTCCCACATCAATTGGAGAACGGAACGAGTGTCAGCGAGGACGCTAGGCCTGGAGGTAGATTGTGAGATCCCACATCGGTTCGGGAGGAGAATAAAACATTCATTATAAGGGTATAGAAACCTCTCCCTATCACGAGATGCTTTTTAAAAACCTCGAGAGATAGCTTAAAAAGGACAGTATCTGTTAGCGGTGGGCTTGAGCCGTTACATAGACAAATTTAGCGTTTGAACATACCTGAAGAATTCCTGCATGATCACCCTTAGAATGGTCACCAGCAGGGACAACCCAAGTACCAGGCCAATGGCTTCCATCAGCCATCCATGTTGCTTTTTGAACCTTAATTGGCTCCATGGGATCTCCTCCAGTTTCTTTCTTGTGTTTCCACATCTTCATCTCCTCTCTTGCATTGAAAGCATCCGATCGCCTCCTAATCGCGTCGGGAAGCCCATTTGTTCGAACCTTAAACTCGTCGTACTCTCGCTTAATTTTCCTTCTATCCTTCACAAAATCCGACCTACTCTTATTCTTCGTTGGATCCACTTTTAAACTAAAATAGCTTTCAGGATTTCTCGGCTCGATATCATGCTTACGACAAAACGGCACCCACAAATCCGCAAAGCTAGCAGCCTCCGCCATTGCCTCGAATGTCAAGAGTGCACCTCCATCATCAGAGATGTAGCAAGCAAGTTTTTCAACCGGATAATCCGCTGCAAGAATGGATAATATCGTATTGGCCGTTACAAGAACCGGTTCCTTTTCAGGATCCGCTGTGGATACAAACATGTCGACACCCGGGAGATCGGAACGCCCGGTGGGATTCGACGGAGACGGAGCATCGAACTTGTCATAAAGAACTTGAAGATCGGTATCTCGATTAACGGGACATACCTTCGGAATTTGATCGAGAATCCAAGAGAAAGCGAACCATATTTCACATACAATAGACATCAACCATAGCCATATTGCATCCTCATTTGGATGTTGCACTCTCCAATGCAAAAAGAAACCCAACACCACAAGTCTTATCAATATCAACAACCTGCAAAGAATGATCGATTTACGAACATATCGATAAATATTTGAACGTTTTCGAACATGTAAAACGAAAGAAACCTGTATGGACTAATGATGCTAGCCGGGATCGGAAACGTTCGACTGAGCGGTTTCCATGGCTTGTCCATCGACTCCAACATTCCTTCACGGAACTTGTCGTCGTTGCCATCATTGTACCCGTCATCTTGATTCAGGTATGCATTGCCAACACCATAGGTTCCTTTTGACTCAAACAACCATTTGTTGTGATCAAATTCTCCACCTTGGTTTAGCTTCATCATTGACTTAGACCCATCATGGCCTTTTAATTGTAATGTTCCATTAGAATAGTCATTAGAATCATCATCATAGTCACCCACTTTATAGGGCTCTTTGCATCCAGGACAAAGCCCTGTGTCCTTCAATGCATCAAGATAGCAATCCCTACAAATTCTAAACCTGTACCGAACCGAACGACACGTTCAAAATAACGCTCGGGGGTTATGAGAATAAAACCACCGCACCTAAATGGCGTGGAAAGATATGGAAATAACAATAAATTGATACAAGATATTTACCATAATACCTATAGTAAGCCGTAAAAGAAGACAAATATCTAGATATTTGCCTATAATAAAAGATCAAATATGATATATATGGTAAACTATAATTCAAAATAACGTTCGGAGGATTAGACCCTTTGAAGCGTGTTTTGTAAAACTCAAAAGTTTAAGCGGATGAATGAATCGAACCTGCATTCACAAGGAGTGATATCTTTACCCCGCTCGTCCTTCATGACCTTGCCATCACAAGCAGGCATGGCACAAGACGAGCCTTTAGCTCCAGCCATTTGAGGATGAGTAACCTTGGAATCGATCACCTTATCCATGAGATGTGCTCGTGTCACGCTGTTGAATCCACCAGTAAACAGCGAGTTTGCGACGTATTGCTCCTCTGCTTTGGTGGCTATCGATGTATCCATCGGTTGATTATCTGGGGTTGGAGGAATATGCACGGTGTAGTTAATATAATCCCCCGATACCTCTCCCGACATGTCGAGATCATCTCTCGATAGGCTGACATATCGGCCACTCGATGTTCTTCGTGCGAACTTAACGGATTGTCCACTTGAACCTCGATTGGCTGCAGAATTCGACGCCCCGCCCGGGCTGCGAATGGCTTTCTTGGATGTTTGGTTGGTTAAAGTTGCCATTGTTGATGTTGGTTTTTAGCTCCAAATGCGTTTAGTTTCAATCAAAACTCATCTTCTACCATTTTCATGAAGCAAAAGATATGAAAAGAAGTTGATTTTTAGCTCAGAGAAGAGAAGAAATGGGAAATGTGTTTGAAATTAGAAGGTTTTGAGAGAAAGGAAGGGGACTTGTGATCAATGGTGGAGCATTGCTCCAAGAAGTTAGGAGAGCAATGGTGGAAAATTGGGGACATAACATTGACGGATTGATCCAACGGTAGAGATGTGTGGTTGGAGACACACCAGATTGGTAGAAGGCTAAATTTAGACATCTGTGTTGAGGATTTTAAGGATTGTGTTTGTGGAGGACAACGTAAGAGATTTTCGAAGGCCGATGGTTAATTTGGATTATTTTTATGAGTTTTTATAAATTCTAAAAAAAAAAAAAAACTCTTTTTTAAACTTAATTCCATATGTTTCCATTAATATATTGATTATAAGAATTTTTTTAACTTTCTTTTATCTCATCCAGCTCGATCTCTAACCTAAAAGTTAATCCAATGAGTCGAGCTCGTGAGCTGAGTTATGGGCTTGATTATCAACGTCACCATCGTTCATTGTCGTTTTCCATTCGTATTCTCCTATTTGTCTCTCGTCCTTCTTCCCTTTCTTTGTTACACTTTCCATAATTCCTAATTTACTACATTTTTTTTTTTTTTACTAATTTCATTTAAAATCAAATAAAAAATCACCTAAAAATTTATACAAAATTACTTTTTCCTCGAAATTTTAATAAATATAAATCGTAAAAAAGTTATAAATCCGTCTAAAACGACATTTGATATAGTTATTAGTTTAAAGTTTTAATTAATACCATCGATAAAAGGAAAAAAATTCTATATAATAATATAACATAAGTACGTTTAAACTTTTCTCAATTTATTTCTCCGACCCTAACCCCTATAAATGTTGGTCATACTTATTTAATTTTCAACCCACCCTACCTTACCCAACTCAACCCAACCCAACCCTAATCATTTATACAAGTTTAAATTAGGCGGCTTGTTTTTTATTATTAAGTCAATAAGTTAAAAAGATGCCATTAAAGCTTACCATTAAATCCATCCAATTGTATTGACTTGTTTGTCATAAATACGAGAATAAAATAGGGAGGGAAAACAAAAACTAGCAAAATAATAATAATAATAATAATAATGAAAATGTTAAATGAGGATACTATCCACTTTGAGTATAAACTTTCATTGCTTTATTTTGGACTTCTCTAAGAGGTGTTCACTACTAATGGAAAGAGTATTACTTGATTATAAATCAATAACCTTTTGTAGATGTGGACTCTCATCATTCAACAATAAATAGTGGGACACGTGTCGTGTCATGAGGAGGTAATTAGACCATTTTATAATACTTTCTTTTTTAAATAATTAATTCAGCCCCACGTGTTGAGTACTCAAAGGCCAAAATAAAAGAAAAATAAATACATTTATAACTTAGACCCCATTTGATTTCCTCTTTTATTTTCTTTTTTTAATTAACCTAGTGCCACGTGTCAAATTTACGTTACAGTATCTTTGCCACGTCATCAACCATGTAAGATTTTTCCCATCAAAATGTGTCGGAATAATTGTTTCCCGCTTCTAAAATACTAAAATTGTGATAAAAAAAAATTTGTTTGTTAGAGAAAAATAATATTAGATAGAAAAGGACAAAATTTCATCACAAAATAATACTTAGAAAATCATATTTTTAATTTATCTAATATTTTCAAATATGCTAATTTTAAAATAAAAATAATTTGATATTAATATCATAATAGCTTATTCTAAAATCATTATTTAAAGTAACGAACAGAAGTTACACAGAAATTGAAACAGAAAATTCAAGAAACCATTGTTTTTATTTTTTAGTTTTTATACGTTATTCATACCTCCGCCGTGGACGGCGTAGCACCGGCGGGTTTGGCGGTGGTGGTTGTGGAGTGTGAAGAGAGACTAGGAGGATGAAACACTGGGGATGTCTCTGCTTGATCTGTTGTATTTCAAGTGGCTTTTGACGAGCTGTCCAGCTGCAAGGGCAGACATGAGAGAGAGCTCTCCAGCAAGAACAGAGCCAGCTACAATGGTGGCCAATAGCCTTGCGTTTGAGCCTGGCGCTTCTCTGTTGGCGCCCTTAACTCCAAGCAGATTCAGACAAGCCGATTGCGAGGCCAGTTGTGTGCCCCCACCAATTGTACCAACCTACGTTACCAAACCCAGTAGATTTAAAGACGGATGATAAAAGTCCGACTAATTTAGAGAATGAATGATCATAGATTTATAATCAAATAATACACTCTCCATTAGCTTGAGGCTTTTTGAGGAATATCATACCATTGTAGAGAGTCGTGTTCATCTAACATACTCAATACACTAAATTCAATTATTTTCTATGTCTAATTCTAAGACTAAAGTCCGTGTTTGAGACTTCCTTTCAAGGATTTTAGAACTCATTTTAAGGTTTCCACACCCTTAGTTCTCTTCCTGAATCCATGTGTTATAAATAGGTTTTCGAAAGAAGTTTCCACACCATGCACCCTTATAAAGGCCTCTAAAATACTTCAGATGCTAACGAAAATAAGATCTGAACCTTGCATTATTAGAGATAAAAAATTACGAACTATTTTGTACTTAGAAAAGAAATTATTCCAAATGAATTGAATACGAGAAGGTAAAAGGAAAATTACCTCAATGGAAGGCATGGTAACGGACACGTGAAGATCCCTGCCATCATTCACAGCTTCCATCATTGTAATGCAGTGAGAACTCTCCACGTTCTGTGCAGGATCTTGGCCAGTGGCTATGTAAATGGCAGTGACAATATTACTGGCGTGAGCATTAAATCCACCCAGTGCTCCAGCAATGGCGGACCCAGCAAGGTTCTTAAGCATGTTAAGTTCCACCAAAGCCTCCACGTTGGTTTTCAACACCTTCCTCACCACATCGCCTTTAATTATCGCCTCGCAAACCACCGATTTTCCCCTTCCTTCAATCCAGTTCACGGCAGCGGCCTTCTTGTCAGAGCAGAAATTTCCTAATCACAGCAATCAAATGATTTCTAAACGGTTTTTGGAATAAATTCGAATTCATTGTTGTGATTTTGTTGTAGTTTACACTATTATTAACTTACCTGAGATGCCGATGACATCCATGTCAGGGAAATCCTCCTGCAAGAAATCCAGAACGTTCTGCACACCTTTAGAGACCATGTTCATCCCCATGGCGTCGCCAGTGCTGCACGAGAATCTCGTATAGAGGTTTTTACCGGCAATGGCGCATTTGATGTTTTGCAGTCTCGCGAATCGGCTCGATTTGTTGAAGATCAAAGCCAGAGTCTCGAAATTTTCAGGTTCTTCAAGAAAAATCTTGAGTTGAGCGGCTCTCTTCGCGGTGGCGAATCTCACCACCGGAGCTCTGGTCATGCCATCTCTCAACAAGACGCTGTTGGCTCCTCCTGATAGGTGAATCGCCTTGCATCCTCGATTTGTACTCGCAACCAAACATCCCTCTGTTGTAGCCATCGGCACTGAAAATTCTTTTTCATCAAGCAAAAGCGGACCTGCAATACCTACCGGAATCTGGACGTATCCAACTGGCATCTCACAGCACTGCCCTAAAATCGAAGCGTAATCGAAGCCGTCCAGAGGCAAACCGGAGAGAAACTTACCGGTAATCCTCTGAAGAGCCTCACGGCGGATTGCCGCCGCTCTAGCACAGTCTCCGAGCTTCGATTCAAGAGAGTACGACGGAGTAGTCCCAACCACCACGGATTTTACGATTTCCTCATCTTCTTCGTTCAGTTTGATCGGAACTGGCAGCGGATCAACCGATTTTGGTACAGACAGAACTGTAGGTGGAACTTGAGGAGAAACAGCACAATCAAGCACTGCACCACACGGCACTTTCCCCGAATCATCTTTAACAATGGAACGCTCATCGTCGTCCTCCGACGTCCACCCTTCCGCCGTCGGACGGAGAAACAGAGACTGAACAAAATCGATCCCGAAGAATCCAATAAGGTACACGAGCGAGGCTACTAAGGCGACAAGAGCAACGATCTCCAATGGAGTAACAAAATGCAGAGGAACAGAGTTCCGGATCTTCATCCGCCACTGGCCGAGTAGATAATACACGACGGAGAAGAAGAGCGTGAAGAAGACGGCATTGGTGAAGTATAGAGGGAGGGCCTGAGCGTCGGAAGACTTCGTGGAATCTTCGTTGACGGTGTTGGTCGTCGCCTTCACCTTGGTAGTCGTCGACTTCGTCGATCGGCAGCGGGCGTCCATAATGATACTGAAGTTGAAGGCCCAAAACGCCGGCGCCGGATCGGACGATGGTGGCCGTAGAAGGAAATGGGCCGTTCGTGAGAGAAAAAAAGGAGGCGAAATAGATATAGATGCAGCGGTGACTGGCGGCGATACTGGATCACGAAAAAGAAAAAACCAGTTGCCGGTTCGAACCTGAACGGAGGTTCGATTGTTATGCGGTATTTATAGGATTCTTTTCTGTTGTGAAATTTCTATTTAAGATGGGTCCTACTACTTTATTCCTAAGCAAAAATTATTTAGTTTTAGTCTCACTCATTCGAATATCCCACCCAATTCAACCCGACCCAACCATAAAATTTGGTTCGATTAGAATTTTTAAAATTTGGTTGGTCAATTAGACCAAAACGAAAATAGAGTTATAACTCAAACTTAATTTTTAAAAAATTAAGAATATTTAATATTTGTAATCGAGGTTAGTGATATTGTGAGATCCGACATCGGTTGGGAAGGATAACGAAACATTCTTTAAGGGTGTGGAAACCTTTGGCTAGCAGATGCGTTTTAAAAAACTTGAAGGTAAATCCCATAAGGGAAAGCTTAGAGATAACAATATCCGTTAGCAGTGCGCTTGGGCCATTACAAATGCTATCATAGCCAGACATCGGGCGATATGCTAGCGAGGAGAGATGGACACGAGGCAGTGTGCTAGCAAGGACATTGGGCATTGGCCCCTGAAAGGAGTGGATTTTCCCTTTGGTGGACACAAGGCGGTGCGCCATCAAGGACACTAGGCCTCGAAGGGGTGGATTGAGGGGTCCTACATGTGTCAGGGCACCAGGCCCTGAAGGGAGTATATTTCTCCTTTGGTGGACACGAGGCGGTGGGTCAGCAAGGACACTAGACCTAAATGATACAAATTAGGTTGGATTTGGTCGATTGAATTTTTCAAGTCACCGAATTTTTTGAACACCCTTACCTCAAGCTACGCTCCCTCCCATTGTCTTCAATTTTAATTTCAACTTTATGTCATTTATCATATTTAATATATTGGCCCCGTCGTAAATATGATGTGAACGCATTTTGCCACTCGAGAATAAATTAAGTACATAAAATAAATACATAGAAAATAGAAAAATAGAAAAATAGAAAAAATGGTTAAAAAATGGACAACAACTATGTATTTAAAAATAATAATAATAATTCATTAATTGTTTTTAATTTATGGTTGAATGCTTGTATTTATAGGTTTATTTAGTACATATAAAAAAAATAAATATTAATTATCGATGAGAATAAACATATTTATAGATAACCCAACTCAAGTGTTAAATTAAATATAAATTAAGAGGATCATATTAATAATACGATCATAATTTTTTTTAATTAAATAAAAATATCAATAAAACTCTGAATTCTAATACTTTTTTAAAAAAATAAATTAAATTTTAGCCACCATTTTATGAGCAAATAAAAAAATAATATTAAAAAAAATTAAAAATTAAAATAATTGAAAAAATCCACCAATATTGGTTGTAGTATTATAAATATTTTAATCATGCAACCTTCCAAATATATATCAATAATTTATTAACCATGTGAATCATGCTAAGGATATTGTGTCAAATATTTTATTTATAAATAAAAATAGTTTTATAATAATTAAATAATTGTATAATGATTTTAGAGGTACCAATTTAGCTTTAATTCATTAATAAAAATAATGTGAGAATAAATATTTTGGTTTTTAGGTGGGAATTTACTGATTTGACCTTCAAAACATATGTAGGCTTAATTGGGTTGAGGGATGTTTTTGGAAAAATTTAAATTTCGGGTTGGTAGTAACCCAAATAACTCGACGTTATTTTACAATCCAGCCCAACCCAACCCAACCCTCTTCGGGTTGTGTTGTCGGCATGCTGTAACTCAATCCACGAACATTTTTGTTAAAGATATTTGATTCTAATGTGAGGATAAAGAAGAGATCTAAGTCCTGCTCCATACATATCATCATCAAATATCTTTTCTAACGGATTGAGTTTGAATATCTAAGTGTTTAGTCAAGAACGGATATCAGTGTCGGCTCGAACGAGAAACTTATTTGTAAAAGTAAGTTCATTTAATTGGTATCGAATGCAAGAAGTATTAGTTTTAGGTCAAATCAAGGAGGTTTGTAATAGGGAAGAGATGATATTGAAAAATTAAATGCATCCATTTCCTACAAACTCCAAACCTACTCACATCAAGTAACCAGCTGAAGAGGACTTTGTGTGTTTTTATTTTTTATTGCAACAAAATTATAATATTAATGTCGGATATGAGTATTTTAAATCTACTGATTAATCGATGTCAATATCTATATTCTTTTATCTATATTAATATAAATATCCATAGATAAGTGAACCCTCAAGCTAAAAATAAAATTTTCGAGAATAGTCTATCATAGGACATATGAAAGCTTGACTCGTATAGTTGCTTAGTGAGCAAACATATTCACACAAATCATTATAAAATCAATGTTAAAGACATATTACTCTCGACTAAAAGATCAGAAATTCAAATACTCAAGAACAATAATTTAAAATGACTCAAATCGTCCTCAACCGTGGCGTTTTTATTCGAGGAAAGCCTACAAATGGCAACCATATGGGAATTAAATCCCAAAAAAGGATTGAATAAATATATAAATAAAAAGAAAAAAAAAAAGAATTTTCTCTCAAATTTATACTATCAATGCTAGCACATACATCTTCTCTCCACTAGGCAAAATTTTTGGGACTTGGCGTATTCTACAAAAAAGTGTGGCTGGCTCAAACCTTAAAGCCACCTAGTTAAATATATATATATATATATATATATATATATATATATATATAGATTTACAAAGGAATGCTAAAGAATGTATATATATAATCTTATTATTGCATGATTATTGGGCCTATACATGATTGAAATATGCTGCTCAAAACAACCTGAACTTCTCCAGAGCTATGTTCACTCCTTATAAGCTCTACCAACAATGGAAAAAGCTGTGGAGCGTACCTTTTAAATAGATCCCTTTCGAACCCGCTTAGAACCCGTAATGCTGAGGCGACTAGAGACGTTCGAGCAGCCAGTTCCTCCTTCCTTGCTGGACCCAAAGGAAGAATCCAATGTGGCACGGCCGGGTTGGTTTCTTTCGTCACACCTGGCATCTCGGTGCACTTCAAGTAAATATGCAAAATTTCTTCACATAACGTGATGAGTTCGGATTCAATAAGAGTTGAATCGGTTAGCAACCGATTCTTCGCGAGCATACTCTGGAGAAAGTTGAGGTGGCTCTGATACGACTCGTTTTCGAAGTGAACCACGGGTGGGTCAGATATGTCCAGGATGGAGCATACTTTCTGTAGCTTCTTTTGAAGGATCGTGTCGGAGTTCAGTTTCTGGGCGTGTGTGGAAATGGAAGAAAAGATGTCTAGAATGATGGAAATGTTGTCTGATGAGAATGGTTGGGTATGGTTCTTGTAGAGATCAGTAACTACCTGATCAAACAAAGGGGAAAAGTGTTATATATTCTACAAATAATAGAACTTTTCTGAAACATGAGAAGGAAGCGAACCTGTAAGAAGAGGAGTTGCATTGAGATATGACTCTTCATTCTCGAAACAATGTAGGTGGCCGTTTGCAGATCATCGTCATCGAGACCATCAGTTGAGAGACCTTGATCTGAAGCCACATCGACATCATTAGAAGATCGAGAGATCCCGGGAACATTAACGCCGTCCATGGTTCTCAGGACCTTGATAAATCCAGGCACAGGTAATGTGGCCACTTCCTTCATAGCAAGAAAAATCTCTCTCCATTCCTTTTCAGTAAGCCTATTAGCCAAGTCGCCTACCAAACGCAGCAACGCGGCGACGCCCGTGCTGGCAGGACCCTTGATCGGATTACTAATGAGTCCCGTCAGAATCCTCACCACGCCAGGCAGTTGAGACCTTATTACACTGAAAAAACTAATGAACAGATCTACTAAACAATCAGCTGCCACTTGACAGGTACTAGAATCCCATGTACTTCCTTCTGAATGTTCATCAAGTTCATTCATGTCCACTTCTTTCTTCTCATGCAAAGAATTGAATATGGGGAAAACTACGGTATTAGTAACACCAACCCAAAATTGACGTGAGAAAAGATGACCATGATCCTTCAGGATATCAAAAAGTACTTCCAAGGAACTTTTCCTGATTGGTGATCTTGGATCGGATGTTAACTTTGATAGCCCTGAAAGGATAATGGGAAAATATTATATAGAAAACGTGGAAGTCTTAACAGGTATAGAAAATTTCATTCATAAAATCTCATCCCCATGACAAAAAGTACACGAAAAATGCATAAAAACGTGAGTTCGTTGAATTATGCATCTCGTCGAGCAAAAATCGAGTTTTAACAGAAGTTGTACCTGCAAGCAAAGGAACCCAATAGGAAGCATAATCATCCTTATCTGGGGGTGTGGGTGTAGGTGTGGGTGCATCAAGAGATTTGGATGAACCATTTTCTCCCACCATCTCATAGCAAACAAGTCCCCCTTCCGCAAGTTTTACGGCACAAAACCGGAGGAATGCAATGGCATTGAGACTTACATCACTGTTAAATCTGCTATTTGTAAAAGTTATCAGACATCGAACACAATCAGTAAATGTTGTAGTTTCAGTTTCAGTTATATAAGGAAAGTATTCTCGAACTATTTTTTCCATGGTTTCAAAAGCTAATAAGACAATATTCTTCCGCTCATCAGCAGCAGCAGCAGTGAAAACCTGAGACAACAGAGACACTCTATTACACCCATTGTAAAAAAACATAAAAATAATCATCAATGGGAGGAGAGCCCGTAAGATCTTGTTCATGGAATCTAAATTTTCCTTGTCTAGAAGCATAATAATATCATATAATATGTTAAAGATTTAACACAAAAGATTAAATCAGTCCGAACCTAATAATTTAAATTTTAAAGTACTGTAATTTGGATTTTCAGTTCAGTTTCATACATTGAATCCCTTCCCTGCTAAAATTAACAGTCAAAGTGTTGATTGAAAGTGAAGTTGAAGGTAACAAGAGAAGGCGAACTAAAATTTAAGAACAGGAATAGATCTACCGAATGCAATACAAAATATTGTGATACCCAAATTTTATTACTGATGTTCAGAACTTACCATGAAAACACTTTTCCATCCAGATTTCACATTATTGACCCGACTGAGAACCATCTGCGAAATGCATCGAACTATTAATTCCCTAATTTCTGTGGAGTTGCTTTTCTGCATAACTATTACGAAAGGTCTCAGAAATTCATTCTGGAAGTTATAATTCGCAAGCTCCTCACGCTCCAAAAATTTCATGGCGAGCTGTCTCAGTGAGTCCATCACAAATATTGCAACTGACAGATTTTCTGATAAGCCAACTGACACAAAGAAGTCAGAGAGAACATTCCACATGCGAGACCACACCAATCTGATGCGGTTCATGTTGTAATGCCTGCAAGAAACAATGTTGTGTGGTGATTTTCTCATTCCATTTCTAAATATGGACACGCCAGAGAGCCTGAAGAGGCGACACGTTATGAAAGTTTGAAGCATTTACTAAACTGAGAGATTATATATATATAAATTATTTGTCATGGAACCCTATTATACAATAAATATCATTATACAAATATTTATTTCAACCTAAAGACAGCAGAGAAGACACATTATGAAAATTTGAAGAATTACCTAAACTGGAAAGATATTATAAATGTCATGGAACCCTGTGATATAATAAAGATAATTATATAAACAATACTTTAAAGCTAAAGATTTCATCACTTTAGGCCATCAAACGCCATGCAGATGAAGCAATACAAGGTAAAGAAATAGCTTACGCCACTTCAACTAGTTTGGTGAGGCTGAACACACGTGGGTCTGTAGGAGCCTGCAACTCTGCAATAGCAACTTTGCAAAGGGCCTTCACAAATGCTACAATTGCTTCACCGTTCAAGCTTTGACTATGAGCAAATACGTGGTTCAACTCAAAATTGCCTATTTGATCCAGCAAATTCAAGTTTGAAATTAGGTGGTTAATCTGTTCGGGAGTTACTGGTCCGGGAGAATTCGCTCTAAGAGAGGTGCTGTCGTATGAACCTCCACGAACAACGGCCATAACAGCTGGATTTTGGAGACCTTTTTTCTTCAGAGTTGATAAACCCATCGATTTCAGTGCTTTCTCTTCAGCTTCAATATTTGACGTTGTCAAAAAGGATACATCGGGTGGTGCACCCTCTCCCAATAATTGTAAATTCTCAATTCTAGAGAGACATGTAAATATGTGCTCCCATGCCTCTTGAAGAAAATCACCATCCTCTATGGCAATTGATATTATAGCCTGCACGTATGCATTGATTCAGAGAAGAAGAAAAAAAATTACTTTTTGAGAAGAAAAAAAAAACAACCTCACTGACTACTCACAATAATTGACCATACAACAAAATTTTAAAAACCAGACTATGTAGATAGCTGTTCTCGTATTATTTAATATGATTTGAGAAAAATAAATGGATCCATAAATTATTGTCCTGCCTTCTAGCCCTTCTAAGAAGGCTTATTCCTTAACATAGTGTTCGCACATAGGACCTGATTTGATAAGCATATGCATCAAAGCAGTGGAAATACGGGCATCTGTTTTATAGACTAATCTCAATTCATTTGGGCAATACAGAAAACCACCCTTCATGGGACAACCTTTTAAGAGGAAAAAATTGTTTTCTGATTTAATGATGAGAATACGCATACCTTCACAGCTTCAACATTTTTTTGTTTCATATCTGCAGCACAATGAAGATAGGTAAACTTAGCCATGGACGTCACGAAAGCATCCCGTTGAGTCTGCAAGCCCATGACAGCTGTGACATGCACAGCATGCCGAAAGCCTAATAAGCACTGAGAAGTAGCAACATTATCATCGCTTTGGTCAAGAGTCACACTAAATGCCGCCAACATAGGACCCCAGCAGACTTCCGCCATAAACCTCAATATTGTTATATCAGTCACAGCGTGATAAACAGATCTGCAAATATAGATAAAATAAGTCCCATTTTTTTATAATAAGAGTAAACTCCTAATCTTTTAGGTGCCCCAACCAAATAAAATACTCCATCGACAAATATAGAGGTTATTCAATACAACATATACAAGACAATCTGATAAAAATCCACAATAAACCAACAGAAAGTAAGAGCAAGAATGAAGACATACTACTCTTTCTAGTATAGATAGAAGCAATAATGAACCAGAAGAGCTTTGCACCTTCAAATTACAATGGAATATTAACTAAGATTTCATTTCATAGCTTACTCAGATTTTCCAGACTTCGCCTTAAACTGCTCCTGTATGTGCTTTATAAGAAGCCCATTGGCGCCAACGGCTTTTTCTTCTGTCTGCTTCCAAGAAACTAAATTGAGTATACCATCGAAGCCCAAAAGTTTGTTGATGCTAGTTGCCTGCTTACTTTGTGAAGCTGAAGAATCAGAATTCATCTTAATTTCATTCCTAACAATCTGATCATAGAGAGTACCAAGATACTCATCAGGTAAATCCTTGCCATCATCAATTCCTCGATTATTTCGGATAAAATCAGCTTTTGTCATCTGAATATCCAACACCAAAGCACATTGCACAATAGAAGTCAGAAAAATATTGAAGTACAGTTAAAAATTTTAAAAAAAATACAACTCAAACTTCTTATATCAATGTGTAAATAAGACTTAAGAATAAAAAGTAGCATTATATGTAAATGTTTTCAGAAATAGTTGCATGCATTCACCAGTCACCACACAAGGAAAAATATCTCCAGAAATCAAATTTTATAAACCTTATTCACGCATTAAGTCTGATAATATTACTTCCATGGAATCCATCCCTGGACATGCATAAGCCCCCCCTTCAAATCTACCACATAAAACATTGAAAAACTTGACGGTTCTGAAGTGGAAATGAAACTATAGATAGGGCAGTACTGGTCGCGAGAGAAAGAGACAGATCCCCAGTCTTTTTATCTCTTCTGTGTAAATAACCCACACTGGTTCATAATCAATAACAACTTCACTATCCAACATTCTGACCTCTTAGACAAGTCAAAGAGATTATATGAAAGCTCCACAGTAGGGATTAATAAAAAAGACAAATAGGTTATAGATCAGGGTCATCGAAGTAACCTAAATATCATCTAGCATTACAAGCAGCCCATTAAACCAATATGCAATCAAATGCATAAGTTAGAACCAAACCTTTTCTTTCACCGTGTTATTATGAGCATCTGTGTTCAGCATAATTACAGAATAAGCAAGAACATAAGCAGTATCTGCACTTGTGAATGAACCAGGGTTACATTTACAGTACCGCTCAGCAAACTTCTCCATGATGCGGTCAATCTTTTGTGCCTCTCCTGGCAACCTGAAGCCTCGCAGGAAAAACCTTATTGCTTCGCCAAAGTTCATCGCATTAAAATTAAAGGAATCAACGTAAGCATGCATAACTTTCAAAGGGAATTCCTCCCTTTCCCCTAAATAATCCCCAATGACTGTTTCATTCAGGCCGTTGGTATTCTTGAGAAAAGAAGCCACCTCTTCAGGAGAACCACCAACTTTTTTTGTGCTAATTAGAAACTCAATACCCCTGGAAGGTTTCCTATTGAACAGCGAAATACCTTTCTGAACATAAATCAGGAAAATTGTCAGAAGAATGTGCTTCAGGCTAATTACATCCAAGTTGAAATGTGTTGAAATAATAGATTAAATGATGAATAGACTGTAACCAGACAAGATCCGAGGAAATTTTCAATGCAAGTAACAGCAACAATTAGTAAAGAATAAAATGTGAAAAACAAGTAGGATTAACCAGATGACAAGTCAAGAAGGAAAGGCAAATACCGAGAAGCAAAAACTGATATTGCAAACAGATTGACCTTCCTCCCTCCAAAAACTCCAAAATAATCACATGACAAGAGCCCCTACTATTAGAAAGTAACTGAACCTAAGCAAGAGCATCATCTACCCTTCTCTTCCTCAAGAACAACTCCCCCTTACTTTGGAGATAATGGAAGAAATGCAATCTATAACCTAGGCCAGAGTTCCCAACTGTAAACTCACTCTAGAGGATGTCTTATCTCCCTTCCTCTTTTATTAGTTTCTCCTTACTCATAAAATAGTTAGTCACCCAAAAAGAAAGAAACAAATAAGTAAACAAATAAAACCATCAACAATAACAACTTTCATCTCCAGTATCTTCAACAACTCGGTCTGATCTTTTTGCTCTCACCTTAACTTGGCTCTCTTGATAGCTTTATATTGGTGTAATTCTCCATTCTCTTATTATAGCCTCTAATAATCTTTTCTTCCACTACCTCACCAAAGAAAAAAAAAAACATTCCAATGAAATGCCATCATAGGATTTATCCATTTTGTGCTAACTTGAGCCTTTAGACTGCTAGAACAGGGGCCACCACTAGTCACCCACATAAATAAAATGTAACAACTAGAGATTAAGTAATGCTCAAACCTGGAGTTCGATTTTGTAAGCTCTTCGTTGCTCAAGTGTAGCAGCATCTGAGAACTCAGAATTTCCATCTGATTGAAGCTCAGAGTCAACAGCACCTGTTTCTTCCCCACTTAAAGGATTCTCGGGAGAAGCATCGTTCTCAGAAGTCTTGAGAAAATATGTATCATCTAGCTTCAATTTTTGGTCCATCCAAGTTCCCATTGATTTAATGATGCTTACTAAACACTTAACAGATTCAAGCCTAAATGAGACATCCTGTGCGGGAGACAATGTTGTGGTTGAACCAGAAGGTGGTCCAAGAGCAGTTTTCAAAAGGCCATTCACCATCCTGCACGTGTCAATGGGGTATAAGGTTAACATAAAAATAACAACGCCAAACAATTTGTATCGAGTCAAACAAATAAATATGTGAAATTAAGGATATATACGAGAGCAGCACCTCTCAAAAATATTTGGGGAATCAACGTCGCAATCGTAGTTGACAAAAATATCGACCATAATCTGTGAATCTTGAGATATCTTATCCAACAAATTGAGCGCGGTCATTTTCTGCAAGAAACTAGGCTGAAGTACATTCTCAAGGACTCGGAGGACAAGCATGGAAAAAAAGATACCAATTTCTGCTTTCAATCCTGATCTAAATTTTGTCAACAAGCTCGTAAAAATAGAACACTGAAGCTGGAAGATGGCCATCACCGACAGGGCACTGTTTTTTAATAATGATAAACAGAGAAATTGCTTGATAGAATTGAGAAACCTGAAACCAATAGTGACAGAATCTGTCACAGTTTATCCAATCAACAATAGTTTACTACACAGTACTTGAACAAACTAAGAAGTTCATTTTGAAGTTACGTCCTGAATGTGGTGTCTTAGACACAAGGATTTTTTTTCTTTTTCTTTTTGTAACTATAGCCTAGCTCAAATCCTCCATAACTGAGAGGTTGAGTCGTTATAGCTTCATTTGGGAGCGGGGCTCCATGCCCCCTGCTTTTTGTGATTAATGCATCCCAGTCTCTTATTAAAAAAAAAAAAAGTTGATTTTGGAATGAGATGGCATATGCCATAAGAAGCTTGAACATGTTCTAGATTTGTCAAAACAAAATAAGACAATATGCTGACTGCCAATGAAGATACCTAGTTTAATAAGATAACATTACATAATTTAAAGGTAGAAAATTAATTTGGTCAAAATTTTGCAGGAACAGGGAAGTTCAAGGCAGTTCTAAAGATGTGTACAAGAGTATCAGTAAAATGATCAATGGAGAATGAAATGCTTGCCTCTCGTTAGAGCGCCAAACCGGGCCTGCATTACCCATGACCACCTTTAGCAGTTCCAGAGACAATATTTTCCCTCTTAAGAGGATCTGATCATCTGGGTGCTCCGGTGATGAGAATTTCATCGACAATTTACACAAATTCTTAAACAAATGGAATCCATCCAGCCTAATCTTACTACAACCACCTGATTCAGCTCCATCCTCCACTTCTCCTACATCAGAGTCACCTTTATTGTCACCTTTCAGTGGGGAAGCATGGCCATTCTGCAATTGTGCCGAAAATGAATAAAGCTTCAAGTCCGCAATCCCTTCGCTAGCATCCATTATCTCGTTAATAAAGTTCTGGCAAAAATATAAAGAATTGCCTTCATTCAAGTTCTTATCTGTAAATTCCAATAATTCACTCACAGTAATTATTCTCAAAGGAGCATCCATGGAGTTTTCCTCCGCCCTACTGAAAACAATGACCATTATTTGAGCTAGAACGGATTTCGCACAGATCTGATTCGTAACACTTAAACCACCCAGATAGACATTATAACAATTCCGAACAACAGTAACCAGACAATCCCGGCGGATCAATACACAAGGGCATCGAACCGCAGAGAGCAACACTCTGAGAACAGTGAGCTCAATTCCTTCATCACCTAGACCTCCCGACTTGCAAACAGACTCAATGATCTTATACATAATGGATTTGGCACCGGAATTCGCCTCGCCATCCGGCCGCTCGATCTCCCCACAGAAAATACCGCGGGAGAACAATTTGAAGACGCACTCAAGCGTGGGCTCGGAAACCTTGACGTAGGCGGCATCAAGAGCCAAAAGGAGGGGTTGGAGCACAAACTCTGCATCAGCCGGTGAAAGACCAGCAATCGGGGATGCGGGATCAAGAGCAGCCTCCTTAATAGAATCAAGCTTATCGAGAACGGATTTGCAAGAGGAAACAAGGTGAGAATGCTTACGCCAAGCCGCATTCTTAACGATCTTGTCAAGGGAAGGGCCGATCGCACGGCCGCATCTGGACGTGCCACCTAGTGTTTGCGAAATCGACATTGGTGCACGATGAAAGAACACACATCCATTCAGCGAATCATGGTGCGAAATGGATTGGATCAAAGAGAATTACCGGTTATAGCTTCAATTCAACGGAAGTTGAATCCCTTCATAAGAACTGATTGCTAGTCGATTTTGCATTTCCATCTTTTGCTTGGGGCCTCGATTTGTTGGCAAGTAGCAGACCCTGTCGAAGCCTGTCCCACAAAATCACACAGAAAGAAGAGAGAGAGAGAGAGAGAGAGCCGATAATTCAGTTATCGGAAATTTTTCATTTAAACCAAACCATTGGGTTGATCTCGCGTGCATCACACGCGCCTGCTTAATTTTAATATTAAAATTCTCATTCATTTATATTTTACCGAATCTATTATGATCAAATTGAATGAAATTTTAAAATATATCGTATTATATTTAATAAAAACAACGTTAGATTTAAATTTTTGTTAAAAAAAACTGTGGGTTTGGATCAGATTACTTGATAACTGATTTGTCAATGGACAACAGGTGAATATTCTTGTACTACTCCTTGTTGGTCCCGATGGACGGAAGAGACTAGGTTAGTCGAAAGAGGGCTATCGGTTCAAGGACGAAAGGTGCCCATGTGAAAATTTCTGTACTTTCCCTTGTTGGTCCTGCAGGACGAAGGAGGGTAGGTTAGTCGAAAGAGGGCTATCGATTTGAGGATGCAAGGTGCCGATGTTTTTTTTAGGGTAAAAAGGGTAGAGAAAATACCTCAAACCAATGTTCGAGTACCCGGCGACACTGAAGTAACCTATGTTATACTTCAAGGAAAAGCTCGAACGACCTTCAACAAAAGGGTACCTATACTCGAACCCGACAAAAGTAGGAAGGTAGAGAATACCTAGGGCACGAGACAATTCTTGGCAAAATAGACTAACTTAGCAAATTTTTTTAAATTATTTTTGTAGAAATTAGTAAGAAAATTGCAAACACAAGAGCAGTACCGTCCTAATTTATATGCATTTTTTTTTTTATTTGAAGTCAAATATTCAAATATAATTATATTAAATTGTTAAATGGGAAGTTTTGATTTTTTTTTTTTAAAAAAAATTTGATTCCATACAAAACAATAAATAAATAAATAAATAATAAACGCCACTATATTAAATTGCACAATATAATTATGCGTAAAAAGCAATAAATTAGACCAATCAAATTACCTAACTTCTAATATGGGCGTTATAAAAATATAGAAATCAAAATAAACAAGAGCGGAGAGTATATAGACCAAAATGAGCCAACTTGCAACGAAAGACAATACATGTTTCGGCTTAACATTGGTTTTTCTTTCGTATAAAACCTAGTTCAACTAATCAGCCAACTCGGGTCGTAAAAAGCTCAAACAAGTGGATGATAAATGTTGGAATCATCTACGTTGGTCTAGAATCTAGATAATTGGATGGTAAAACAGTTATTTTGCAGCGAACCATACAAGTTGAAACGTTAGAATGGATCAAAACGACTTGAAAAAGACCAACTCGAATCATTCTCAATCGAGCCCTCAGCTATCGTAAAACTGGAACCAGGTTCCAGTGACATGTTTTTTTACCCTTTTCAAGCTCAATACATCCTGGATATTCCAGACACAAACATCAGCAGAAACACAGGCAACAGGCAACTGAAAACAGGATGCTACCTTACAAAATACAGATTACGCCTCATCTGTTAGTTATTTCTCATAACTACGATAACAAAAAGTTAGAAATTATTTGGACAGAAGAATAGTTTATTTTGACACATTTCAATGAAAAGCCGATCAAAACTGTAAAAGAGTAACTTCAGTTGGGGACGGACGCAGGGGCAGATGACTCGAAAAGAGGGCTATCCTGGGTCACTGAATCCCAGTCAATTTGTCTAAGAATTTCAAACCTGTCGTTAAGTGTCACGAACCCGACTTGAGGAGCAACGACACCAGACGATCCTGCTTTATGGAGTAAGACCATGCTGGCCCCCATATCAGGGCCATGAATTTTCCCAGTGAGCAACAAACGTAGTGGCATGAAAAGTGATTTTCCCTGCCATTTGTGGTAAAATTAGGAAGAGGTGATTCTGATTTTTCTACTGAGTAGTAAATAATATGAAGAAGATGTGTAAGGAAGTGAGAACTCAAATTATAAAGCGCCAGTGAATTGAAAATTACCTTGCGTTTCAATGATTTACCAAAGGTTTTCACCCACTTCTGCCAGCCAGAAGGGCCTTCTTCAAGCGCACTGAGGATTTTGCCACTATCATATGCAGCTATGAGGCTGGCTGAGAATTCAGAAAGCTTATCTTCTACAAGAGGCTTAGCTTCGGAACTGCAGGCATTAGGAGAGTTTTCAACCATCCATAAGAATTCAATATCAATTGTGATCAACCCAAGGTAAATATTGTCGGCTTTGGCCCGTTATGTATTGCCGTCAGCCTCACAGTTTTAAGACGCGTCTACTAGAGAGAGGTTTCCACACCCTTACAAGGAATGCTTCGTTCCCATCTCCAACCGATGTGGGACATCCCCCTTGAGAACCAGCATCCTTGTTGGCACACTGCCCGGTGTCTGGCTCTGATACCATTTGTAACCGCCCAAGCTCACCGCTAGCAAATATTGTCCGTTTTGGCCCGTTACGTATCATCGTCAGTCTCACGGTTTTAAAACGCGTCAACTAGGGAGAGGTTTTCACACCCTTACAAGGAATGCTTCGTTCCCCTCTCCAACCAATGTAGGATCTCACAATTCACCCTCCTTGGAGGCCCAGCGTCCTCGCTGGCACACCGCCCGGTGTCTGGCTTTGATACCATTTGTAATAATAGCCCAAGCCCACTGCTAAAAAATATTGTCCGCTTTGGCCCGTTATGTATCACCGTCAGTCTCACAGTTTTAAAATGCATCTGCTAGGGAGAGGTTTCCACACTCTTACAAGGAATGCTCCGTTCCCCTCTCCAACCGACGTGAGATCTCACAATCCACCCCCCTTGGGGGCCCAGCGTCCTCGTTGGCACACTACCCGGTGTTTGGCTCTAATACCATTTGTAACAGTCCAAGCCCACCGCTAGAAAATATTATCCGTTTTGGCTCGTTACGTATCGCCGTCAGCCTCGCAGTTTTAAAACACGTCTACTACGGAGAAGTTTCAACACCCTCAGCAGAACTCAAATCAACTTCACCAACTTTGTAGTCTTAATTTGCAAAAAACAATATCATGGTAGTAACAACAATATGCATGAAATTCAACATACCTTGCCAGCGTAGTGTGCAGAGGATAGGACAGAAGGTTTGAGAGCGCCTTGTCAGCATCAGTTATCAAATCAATTGCATCTTTTAGCAGCTGAACTGATTCCTATATATAAAATTACATAACTCCCCGTGCAATGATTTCATGATTGTAGCACACATTATGAAAGGAAAAAGGCATTGTCATATTCAAATTAACAAAGCATCATTGCCGCACAAAAAAATAAAATATATTGAAGCGACCAGCGGTGTTACATAAGGAGACGGTTATTCCACCATAGTTCTTTACTGATAAGATATAATACTATTATAACGTTACATATAAAGATTCACATGCAAGTTAAGGAGCCAGGAAACATGATGTGAGATTTCCTTTAACGCTTAGCCCCCGCTCATGAAACGGCTCTGCTGCAATGGATGGCAGAGGGTCCGGAGTACCCAAAGCACTGAAGTCATCCTGTAGCCGGGAAGGGGCCTAGAAATGCTAACTACTACACCACACTACACTTGGCTCTACACATTTACAAAGCTAACCCCGGTCCAGTCCCTGGCAGAGCTAAGGAAGGGGGCTTCAATCCTTATTCCTTATCCCCATCTTCGCCATGCTAATGAGGGCAAAGAGGTATCAATTTAGTAAAACTTGAAATTCGCCTCTATCCCTGTTAAGTTTAGGTGGCTTGGGAGTAGGAAGTCTCACAGAAACATTCCTCCTTATTCTAAGCAGGGCCGGCTTATTCTCAAGAGACAAAAGCATCAAGGTACAAGATCACTGTCAGCTAAAAAGGACAGACATGGACAAGTGACACAACAAAACACGGACACAGCGACACGTCAATTTCTTAAAGCTTGGGACTTCTCATAGCAAGTCTAAGGTTAGGAAAAAGATTTGAATTTAGCAAGATAAAGTGCTTCGAATCGCCATAGTCACTCTTTCCTAGACCTTCAGCTCCTAAAATTCTCCTGTTTCTATGTCAACTGAAGTCCTCTGTAAGCACCTTTCATCCTTGGTGGACACTTTATTTACTCTTTTATGTTTACTAATATTTTCAGGTTCCTATCCAAAAGTAATTCCTGCACAATGGCCGCTTACCTCAATAAATGGCCCCTCTGATTCTGTCAGGATACCCGTGCTCTTCCAGCGCTCACCAATAAGCTTGGTCAATTCCTCAGATGGAAGGGCTCTCAAATGCTGACCATTCATCCACCTAGTTGTCACGAACAGCAAACATATTAGCTAAGAACAACTACAAATTCAAATTGACAAACAAATAAAATTTTAGTTACATTGTTAAAATTGAACTGCAGGGACGTACTTCTAAGAGCAAGAAAAATTGTACCCACTTACAGTCAAATCATTCTTACCTTAACTTGGTAGAATCAAAAACAGCACCACTTTTGTTTACACGGCTAATTGAAAACTTTTCCACTGTCAGTCCAAGAAGACAGCCAAATAGTAATTCAGAAACAAACTTTAAAAATCGTTAGAATAAAGACTGGAAAGGAATAAAAAGTGCTGGATGATGAAAGTCCCACATCGACTAATTTAGGGAATGATCATGGGTTTATAATCAAAGAATACTCTCTCCATTGACGTGAGGCCTTTTGGAGAAGCCCAAAGTAAAGCCATGAGAGCTTATGCTCAAAGTGGACAATATCATATCATTGTGGAGATCGGTTCACCTAACATAGTATCAGAGTCATGCCCTAAACTTAGTCGTGTCAATAGATTGGTAAATCCTCAAATATCAAACAAAGGACTCCAAAAGAAAAAGGAGTCGAGCCTCTATTAAGGGGAGGCGTACTTTGTTCAAGAGGAGGTGTTGGATGAGAAAGTTCCACATCGACTAATTTAGGGAATGATCATGGGTTCATAATCAAAGAATATTTTCTCCATTGGTATGAGGCCTTTTGGGGAAGCCCAAAGCAAAGCCATGAGAGCGAATATTTTCTCCATTGGTATGAGGCCTTTTGGGGAAGCCCAAAGCAAAGCCATGAGAGCTTATGCTCAAAGTGGACAATATCATACCATTATGGAGAGTCGAGTCGTGTTCATCTAACAAAAAGAATCAATAATAGAACCACAGATAGAATCACAAACCAAGTTGTTCGAGAGTAAAAAACTCGTTCTCGGTACCATCCCCCCAACCTAACAGAGCCAAGTAGTTAACCATAGCCTCGGGTAGATATCCCATCTCCCTGAACTGCAAAGCAGAATTTACAGAGATCAGGCGTATTTATTTCTAATTTAAGTTTGCATATCACATTAAACTAAGAGCTTTAAGAAAAACATTGGAATATACTAATAGACATAATATATCACAGAATATACAAGCTTTTACCAATGGCATAAGACTTATACAACCAAAGGATTACCTGACCAACTGATGTTGCACCATGTCGTTTTGACAGTTTACTACGATCAGGTGCAAGAATTAAGGAAACGTGTGCAAAGTAAGGCATTGGGAAACCAAGAGCCTGTAACATGAGGATTTATTGACGAGGGAAATCGAAGTCCTTTGATTAGAATCTGATATAGGATACCTGAAGGGAAAAGAGGTGTGCGATTACCTTATATATCAGCGCCTGCCTAAGAGTGTTTGGTAAATGCTCCTCTGCCCTGAAATGAAAATAATTAGAAAATTAGTTAACATATTCAACGTAATGGAAATCCAACAAGTGGAACGTACTATTCAAGGAGAGAATAAATGGAACAACAAGTTCATATAGGTTACAGGAGGATCAGGTTATTACCTTATGACATGTGAGATAGCCATGGTAGCATCATCGACAGTGACACAAAAATTATAGACGGGTTGCCCATTGCTCCTCATAATTACAAAATCTCCAAGTGTATTCAAGTTCCAGCTAACCTTCATGACACTAGCAAACAAAGTTAACAACAAGATACAACATAATTTTGATTAATGAGGTTGAGTGAGTAATCATTATTAATTGTGGAGTTGATATGTAGCTCTTCAAATCCTCTGTCCTAAGTCAAAGTGTGTCAAACAAAAGAACCCCACAGAAGAAACGATACAACCTCAACATGTTTCATTTTTCGTTTTCTGTTGATTATTTTCAAGTCGAGATATATTCAAGACAAGCGGTGCCACCAGGGCAGGGCAGGAATCAGCTATAGAGAACATGCAGTCTGGAGTCGACAAACTATATAGGAAAGATAACGAAAGATAGGTGGAGAACTTACTTCCCCTCGTATGAGATCATTGATTTTCAAACTCCCTTGTTGAGGCACGCGAAATCGATAAGTGTAAGGGGTACCCTTTTCCAATTCTTCCTGTGCTTCTTCATCAGTAGCAGTGGCCCACTTTCCCATGTATACAGGTGGCAGTTGCTTCAGCTTTGCGACCTCCTTCATTTTTTCTAGTTCCTGAAGAGAACGACAGTAACATTGCTTAAGTAATCAGAACTTCAAGATCGATAAAACATCAAACATATCATATATGATAGTTCTGATTACCTCATTTGAACAAAAACATCGATATACTTGACCGGATTCTAAAAGCTTCTCCGCATACTGTTTGTATAAAGTATTTCTTTCTGATTGACGGTAAGGACCGTAATCTCCTCCAGCACTTGGACCTGCATATGGTTAAAGCATTAACAGAATCTCAGAAACAAATAATAATGATGAACTAAAAAGCTCCATTCTTACTTCTTCGAAGAATACAACATCAAAAGTATAACTGCCCATTCAGGAATGCTCTAAAAATTGTATATTGACTCGAGCATTATGATACTAAGTCGAATGAACCGATGCCAATACATTAAGACAAACACCATGAAATGCATAAACTAGAATTGAGACGAAGCAAATACTCCAAAATTAACGCGTGAATTAAAGCTGGAAGAACATGAACACCTTCATCCCAATCGAGACCAAGCCATGAAAGATCTTTCAACACAGCCTCCTCAGATTGTCGAGTGGACCTTTCCAAGTCAGTATCTTCAATTCTCAGAACGAACTTTCCACCATTGCCCCTGAGACATCGAGTTTGTAAGTACAAAACAAACAATGATAGACAAGTAAAATGGAACTTAGACATAAATGTTAGGAATCACGGATCTCCACAATGGTATGATATTGTCCACTTTGAGCATAAGCTCTCATGGCTTTGCTTTGGGCTTCCCCAAAAGGTCTCATACCAATGGATGTGTATTCCTTACTTATAAACCCATGATCATTCCCTAAATTAGCCAATGTGGGACTCCCTCCAACAATCTTCCCCTCGAACAAAGTATGCCATAGAGTCTCCCCTGAGATCTATGTAGCCCTCGAACAGCCTCCCCTTAATTGAGGCTTGAATTTTTTCTCAAGAGACCTCGAACAAAGAACATTCTTTGTTCGACACATGAGTCACTTTTGACTACACCTTCGAGACTAGCAATTTCTTTGTTCCACACTTGAGTATTCTACTGACATTGCTAAATTAAGGGCATGACTCATATACCATATTAGGAATCACGAATCTCCACAATTGTATGATATTGTCCACTTTGAGCAATAGCTCTCACGGGCTTCCCCAAAATGCCTCGTACCAATGGAGATGTATTCTTTACTTATAAACCGATGATCATTCCCTAAATTAGCCAATGTGGGACTCTCTCCCAACAATCCTCAACAATCTTCCCCTTGAAAAAAGTACGCCATAGAGTCTCCCCTGAGATCTATGTAGCCCTCGAACAGCCTCCCCTTAATCGAGGCTCGACTTTTTTCTCAAGAGCCCTCGAACAAAGTACACCCTTTGTTCAACACATGAGTCACTTTTGACTACACCTTCGAGGCTAGCAATTTCTTTGTTCCACACTGGAGTATTCTATTGACATTGTTAAATTAAGGGCATGACTCATATACCATGTTAGGAATCACGAATCTCCACAATAGTATGATATTGTCCACTTTAAGCAATAGCTCTCGCGGGCTTCCCCAAAATGCCTTGTACCAATGGAGATGTATTCCTTACTTATAAACCCATGTTCATTTCCAAGGCGAATGACTCCCTCCCAACAATCCTCAACCTACCGATAACCAAAACCAAGCGCAATGATCACTGAAAAACCTAATTAAACAACGAATAGAAGCAAAAGGAAGAGTCAATAAAACAAACCTAGCAAACAAGTAATTGAAGAGCGCAGTTCTTGCTCCACCAACGTGAAGATTTCCAGTAGGCGAAGGAGCAAAACGGACTCTAACTTCTCCATCGACCTTATTCACGGACGCCGATACAGAAAAACTCCTTCGAAATTTAGGGAAGCATCTCTCCGCAAAATATAAGTTTGAGTGATGCAGAATTGGAGGATTCAGCATCGGGAAGGCCCTAATCCTCACCCATGGCGTCCCTGCTATAGTCGCCATCCGCCGCCGTCCGCAGAGCTTCTGAGGTCCGACGCCGATGGTCGTTTACCGGCAAATGGTTTAAGGATAACGAACTGCAGCTGATACAGCTAAAGCGATGCAGCTGGCTTTCTCATTTCTTACCGTACACGATCACGCTATATGGACTCAGCCCACCAAAATTATCATATATTATAATTAATAAATTTTAGGTTGAAATATAATCTTTGTTTGAAAATAATAATAATAATAAATTATTATTATTATTATTATTATTATTTACTAAGATTAAGTTAATTTTTCAACTTTAAAATATTTCATATTTATCTAATTTTTCTTTTTATTTTAAAATTTAGTCCAAATAAATAATTAATGTAATAGATATTTGTGTATATTAAATATTTAATTTGAGAGGAAAACATGTATAGTGCAGTGTTACGTGTCATTTCAATTTTCATCTATATTAAAATTTTCATTTCTTTTTGTGAGGATTAGAGTGGGTCACGGAAAATTTGTGAGGGTCGGAGGCAATTATAAGGATTGAGACGAACAACAATATATTCCCGTCTTTGACCCCGTTTAGCTAACAATAAATTTCTCTCTTTGTTTCCTCTCCATTTTCGCCCTGTTTGGGTAGGTCTCCACGAGCTCAATAAACATGTCTATGTGCACGAATACATCAAATGTTTTTTTCATTAAATTAATAAAAATGTTCATTTTATTTGAAATATATAAATAAATTTTTAATATTTATTTTAAAAATACTTTTTGAATTTTAAACTTTTTATTAATAACCTTCCATTTAAAAAAAAATATATTATATATATATATATATATATATATATATATATATATATATATATTATTTCCGTTAGAATTATGTTTAAAAATATCTATTAAAATTTTAGAGTGACACTAACACCCCCGGCTTAATTTTTTTTTTTTTTTAATTTTTATAGAGTGTAATAATATTTTTGTTATTTTTTATTTTTAAATTTAAGGGTAATTTTGAGATTTTAACAATAATAATTTAGGTTTTTTTTATATATATATATATATAATTTAAAAAATATATAATAACCACGAACCGATTAAAGACAGAAAAATCGTGGATGAACAATTAGGCGGGAGGGACTACGCGGGAGAGAGATATTGAAGGATGAGTTTCTTAGCAACTACTCCGTCGTCGACGATTCTCAGTCCGCCGTACACGTTACTGGGCTCCGGCGGGAAAGTATCCTATCTGCGACTAGGCAGGGTGGAGGGATATCGGCGAGTGACAATGAGAGGCGGAAGTGAAAACCGGAAGCCGTTGCAGAAGGGGAGGAACCTCAGCATCGAAGCAATTCAAGCGGTACAGTCGTTGAAGCGAGCTAAGAAAGATTTACAACAATTAGACCGAGTGTATGATTCTAAAATTAGGCGCTTATTGAAGTTCGATATGATGGCTGTCCTTCGCGAGCTCCTTCGCCAGAACGAGTGTTCTTTGGCTCTTAAGGTGATGCCTCTGCACTCGACTTCTATGTTTATTTGTACATTTGAATGATTAGTAATCGGGAATATTCGATCATGCACGGTAGTTGTCGATCTTTAGAGGTATCCACAGCAATGGCGAGATATAGATTTTTGCCTTCTGTAATTCGTTCGATATTCTTTGCTGATAGCCTGTATTACTACTTTCGATTTCTGAGTGTTAGGTTTTTGAAGATGTTAGAAAGGAAGACTGGTACAAGCCTCAGGTTTCGCTGTATGCTGATATTGTTTCAGTATTGGCTAGCAATGGATTGTTCGAACAAGTACAAATAATTCATTCATACTTAAAAGCAGAAACTGACCTAGCACCTGAAATTGAGGGGTTCAACAATCTTCTGAAGGCCTTGGTTAGTTATAATCTAGGTGAACTTGCAATGGAGTCGTATTACTTGATGAAAGAAGTAGGTTGTGAGCCAGATAAGGCTTCTTTCAGGATTGTCATAAAAGGATTGGAATCAACGAGAGAATCAGTTGATTTAAGACCTGTGAAGAAGGATGCACAAGAGCTTTATGGTGAATCACTTGAGTTTCTAGAGGAAGAAGATGAAGCAGCTACCGGCATATCGACGCACTGAGCTGCGGATGAACTTGTGGCGAGAAAGATGGCATGTTTATGCTTCCTTGGAAGAAACCTGAAAATTCTAAGAAAGTTTCATTGGATGTGAACTTTTACTGTATACCGGCTTAAGTCAACCCGGGTTTAGCAGAGGAAATCTGTGATAACTTTTAAGGTTATGTTGGATCTCATGAATATTGGATGAATTGAAATCGGTTTACAGTTTACTCTCTTCTCCTTGTTAATGCTTCCGTTTCTCAAGCTTCTGGAATCCAAAACCTCCCCTGATTGGCAGTGTCACTAGTCTATGCAGAGAAGAGCTGATCATCTTGCAACATACTTCAGCCACTCTGTTGCAAGCATGAGAAGTACATCTAAGTCTACTCAAGACAGAAATAGAAGAGAACAATCTGAAGTATAATGCAAGATGGTTGTTACATGATTTCTTTTTCGTTCCAAAAGTACCGTATTATACGTAGTATAACACATAAGGTACAAACCCGGTTCAGGATTGCTGCGTATTTCTGTAGAAACATATATAGTAAGATGAAAAATTATGTGGGCTTTACGCCCAGACTGCTAATATTGTGCAGTTTGACTCTGATATGATGATCTCAAGGTTTAACATGCCGGTATCCTTATGTTCAAGTTTCTAGTTTCGATTTAGATTCCTTAATTACATAAGGATTTCAAAATTGTTTTCCTTCAAATGTCTGCCCAAACTGCCAGTTTGCAGGTGCAACGCTGTAGGAAGTAAGTGTTCTTCCACTGCTAGAGGTAACTTCGAAAGAGAGAGGTTGCCCATGAAGATTGACATTGCTTTGCCAGTTTTGTCCCCAGTTCCTTGCCAATGGTATCCATCCTGTTCTTGATCCTTTTACCTTCACTGCCACTAATTCACCATCCATTCCAACATTGGTAATCAGAACTTGAAAGAAACGAGAATTTCCACTAACCGTGAACCTCAATCCACCACTTCGGTCACACCTCGTCCTACACACATTCAAAACAAGTTTTTCCCCCTTAGCTGAGGATGACAAATCGTTTGAATCTATATGCATTTAGATTGATTCTACCTCCTATATTGAACTGGCACAATATCTGCTTTTTTCTCTGATATTTCAGCAAATGCTGCCTCTGACATCTCAAAATGTTCTTTAGGAAAATTACACCAACCACCATAATCGGAAGATAGGCCGTAATTTGGAGGACAGAAGTCGGTGGCTGTTAGAATGACGGTCGGGCTTCCTTGCAAGCACCACAAGATGTGGTCAACACATCTAAGCTCATAGCAAGCTCCACAGGTACTCCCTCTATTAAACAACATGCTACTCAATCCTGCGCTATATTTTCCATAGCTAATTTTATGCAGATCTCCATATCCACATGCACCTTCTGCAACATTAGTAGGAAAAAAGAGCATTTGAAATACTTCTTTCCCTCCCTTTAGGTTACAATATTCCAGACATGACTATCTTGAAAGTAATTATAAAATGGTCAAAAGCACTTTTTTCACTCGTTCACAATTGATCTAATATTTGGTTTCTAGGCTTTTGTATACAATTTTCAGACTATCAAAATTAAGCTTCGGATTGTTAGAAGCATTTTTCTATATGATTTTGAACGTGACAAAAATGATTTTAACTATTTCAAAAATCACTCAGCGAACATGTTCTAAACATTGATTATCAAAGTTATGATTTCCAGTTTCCACCTTTTGAAGGTAACCCTTGAACACTCATATAAGATCTTTTGCAAACCCAGAAAAGCACCATCACCATGTTTAAACACTAATATAATCTTATGAGCTTTCAGACGAAGGAGAAGAGTACCTGTAACAATGGACCCATCTGTTTCTTTGGAGTATGTTGCAGTAGCAGATTTCCACTCTTCATCCTTAGCCGCAAAGAGATTGGGTGTTTGCAGAAGAACCAAGTAGACTACTATAGCTACAAAGGCAGCCATTTAAGAAGAATATAAGGGCTTGAAGAAGCCTGTGCAGTATGTATACCTAAAATGAGGTATATTTCCTTTTGAATTTTTTTTTTCCTCCTTTAAGAAAAGCCCCTCCCAGCCTTCTTTTTCATCATTCCCCTAATTTCTCGCTGAAATGAAGCAGGCTTCTCTGATTGCCGGAGCACTGTCCTGAACTTTGACAAATCTCCAATTTTGTAGCCCTTCGTTCACACTGGTGGCGCGTTTAACGAGGCTAAGGAAAAGACACGCACCCTGTTCTTATATCTTCTAGGCCGCCGATAATGGGGGCTCAACGAAGCAAACTTGGAGCCTCCATTTCTGCCATTATCGAGGTAGAACGAAGGGTTTGAGGCTTTATGAAAATGGCGGCGGCAGATACAGAGCAGAAAGCCATGGAAGCCAGGTATGTGTTCCTTTGCATTTTAAGATCCATGAATAAAAAGAAGCTTAAGTTAATAAGAACTCAAAAAGTGGCCTGTCTTGGTTTTGATTGTTGGACCCCGAATGTGTTTTTAAAAGAGTGGCTTTTGGTTTAATGGCTCATCTTTTCATAATAACAAAGGTAGTGGATGTTCCTAAAAAAAAATAAATATAAATAAATAGAAAGAAAAAATATATATATAGTGGTTGGGTCCCACAGTTGGAAGACGTGGATTGCGGGATAATGAAGCCGTTCTCTTGGCGGGAAACGGTGCTGAAGGTCTCTTTCTTTTTTTTTCTTTTTTTTCTTTTTTTTTTTGTCTTGAAATTATATTTGGTTTATGTGAATTAGGTCTAGTTGGTATTATCCATTTGATTCTTATGATTCTTAAAGTTTTCATTTGGTTTTAGTTAAGCTTCATAAATAATACATAAATCATATTTTACTTAGCCCATTTTTGTAATACTTAAAATAATTAACTAATTTAGCGGTCAAATTTAAAATACAAGCTCTACAATTTTCAATAATGAAAACTCAACTCTTAAAAATTTTAGGATTCTATTATTCGAAAGATGGTTTGATATTAAAGAACATTTTAAACATTTAATAGGATTTATATGATTGGACTAAAGACGTTGAAGTGAAATCAAATTAAAAAAAATTAAATTGAAAATTAGGTCAAATAATCTAACCATGGATATATCATTTTATGTCTCTTTTTTTTTTTTTTAATTATTATCAAATAAATAAATAGGAATGAAAAAAAAAAAAAAAAAAAAGCATTTTTCTCCCCGCTTGTCAGGTGGTTTTACCTATTTCTCTTTAAATGTATAAATTTAAGTGGGTGCTTCTATTTCCTAAGATATTTTAAAATAATTAATTTGTACAAAATAAATTGCATTCAAGAACCAGTTTGATTTCTACCTTTTGAACTTCATTTTAATTAATTTTGTCTAGTTCCAAACTCCTACCTGGTTAGTATCGATATCAGTTGTTAGTTTTGATATCAATTGTTAGAATCACTCAACAACGGACACACGATCAAGATGGACATAAAGATTTAAACCTACCATATATAATCTAGCAAATATATCTCTATCAAATTTTTTACTAAATATCTATCATATATATCTCTATCAAATATCTTTACGAAATATTTTCCAAGTATATCTCACATCCAACAAAAAAAAAAAAAAAAAAAAAAAATGTATAGCCCACGAATGTATAGCCCACGAATCAAAAAAAAAAANAATATCCAATAACTCTAAATTGGTCGGATTTTATATAAACATTTTTAAGGGTAGGAGTGAGGACTCAAACTTCTTAACTAATTTAAAAAAATGGATGAGGTTCCATTAGTTTAATGAAATAAAAATTAAGCTTTTAAAACTATTTAATGAAATAACATTGGAACCAAATGAGAGAATTCAACCAAAAGATAATAATTATAAACATAGCTATTCTTCTTCTTGCCATATATATTTCCACTGCATATGGGAGAGCCTGAAAATTGTGTGGGCTTACAGAACATCAATGGCCCATTTTCCATACTATTCTGATGAATTCTAGGCTCATCTTCACAACAAAATTCATTCACTAAAGCTATTTCGTCTTCCATATGCAAAATTTGTTCATGTGTAGACTAGAACCTCTAATCCCTCCAGACATCAAATAATTAAGGAATACATCTTCAGGATGAGCTACGGGAAAACTTACCAAAATTGTTCTTCATGTGTCGATTGATATTGCCCTGCCCTCGTTTCGTTATGTTATTACATCTTTCAAACTAACAATGCATATGGGTTCTTCAATTTTTTTACTAGAATCATCATTTTCTTCGTCGCTGGTACTGGAACTACTCTCATTCTTTTTGTATCTCTTGTTATTCGGCCAAGTCTTATGAAAGTTATACAAATTGAGTGTTGTTTGATCTAGAGTCCCTTCTCTATAAACAAAATTACCTCCTTCTTCGTCCATTCGACGCCACTTTCTATTTCGATCATGGTTTCGATACAATGGCAATCCTCTGCAAATAAAAGCAAACATTAATTTGTCATCACATTAAGATTCACAATTTACGAAGTGAAAAACCAATTAACCTATTATGAACAGAATCTCAAACAAAGAATTTTAGGAATACAACACATACAAATTCAAGTTGTACATCAAAAAATACTAAATTAACAATTTTATATGAATATAAAATTTATTTTAAAAAAATAGAATGATAATAATTGTGTTTGGAATAACTTTTGAGAATAATTATAAAGTGATTTATAAAAATAACTTTAAAATATATACGAAGAAAAAGAATTGTAATCAATAGAATCATAAATATAATAGAAAAAGAAATTAATTTGATTATAAAGAAATTTAAATTATAATGATGCTAAGTTACATAAATTAGTTTTTGTATTTAGATTTAAAGGCAAATTTTATCCCTAGATTTAATTTTAGTTTATAAAACGTTTAATTCCAATTGTGTTTATTTGAAACTAAAAAACGAAAATTTTGAAATTTAGTTAAAAATTCAAAAATGTTCTTAAAAAATGTGAAAAACTCACCAAAAGCATAATGATTGAGGAAGCAAACAATAAAACAAAAAAACGGAAATCATCATCAAACATTTTCTTAACTTTAATCCTTACTTAGGGAAAAAAAAAAAAAAACTATCTAATTTATGAAAATATTAATCTTTATGATAGAGACATAAATATGAAATTGAATGAAAATTAAAAATTTAAAAGATTTAATAAATTTGGATAAGTTCAAAGATCAAAACAAAAAGCATAAAAGTTCAAGAATTAAAAATAAAAATAAAAATAAAAAAAGTTTATGAACTTTATAAAAATTAGATAATTTTATTATTATTATTTTTTTTGGTGGTCATGTGTTAGGTGATAAATGCAAAAAGCATGTGAAATTTACAGTATTATTGCCTCTGCCTGCACTACATCTACATGCAGGCGTGGAGTTTCGTGCTGCCCAATACTTAAATATAATCTTATAAAAATTAATTAATTAAAAAAAAACAACAAATACAGAATAATAAATAAATATTTCCCGTAAAAAGTAAATAAATCTTGTTTCCCGTAAAAAGTAAAAACAACAAATTCAGAATAATAAAATTAAATAACAAATTTTATGTTTGGATTTGAGTTAATGGGAAAAATAAAAATAGTAATTGTAAAAAAATCAGAAAAAAGAATAAAGATATTAAATTTAAATTATGTAACTGAACACAATTTCAAAATAAAATAAATAAATAATTAATTAATTAAGATTTAAAATTCTTCACTACAATATTAATTTTTACGAGCTATTTTTATAATAATCTTTTCAGTTAGCTTTAAAATTAATTAATTAATTAATTTTTGTTTTTTTATTGTTTTCTCAAAATTTATATTTTAGAAAGTTAAAAGAAAACTTAAAAAAAAAATAAAAAAATAGGAAAAATCAAATAAAATGTCTTAATAAAACTTAATTAAATATTTAAGCAGAAATTAATTTGAAGTAATATTGCAAATTAAAATACTAGTCAATGTGGATTATATATATATATATATATATATTATATACAGGTAAGAGTAATATATAAAAAGAAAATAGTGTCCAAAATTGACTTTTCATACTTGGGAGAAAGGGAATAGCCTTAATAGCTTTACCATCTAAGAAAATAATAACTAATTTTACATATATTAATTTTTTTTTATTTTCCTATTAAAATAAATATAGTAACAAAAAATAATTAAAGATAAATTAGAAGGAATCAAAGATTTCCATCTAATCAATAAGAAGAAAATTTTGCTTAATGTTACGATAATGAAAAGGAAAAAAGAAGAAGAAGAAAAACTGTCAATCATCAGAGACGAATCAAGTTAATATTTCCATACATAAGAAATTCATTCGTTAAAAGAATTTAAGAAAAAAAAAAAACTGAATCAAAATATTATGATTTTTCAGTTCATTCTCGATCAAACCAGTAGTCAACCGTAGCTATGACAAGAAATCTCCTAAAATCAGAGTTGAAATTTTAGAAAAGAGCAATCAATTTCGTCATAAACTTGAAAATAAATGAAAAGGCGGTGGATGATGAAACGTTCAAAATCAACGAAAAGCGAAACAGCAGCGAAAAAAGCACAGATAAATTTTCAACCACAATTAAAGAAAAAGCACAAAAATTAAAAGGATTAAACAACATTGTTACCTAATATGGAAGAGATCGGAGATATCAAATTTCTCGAGATAAAAATTGACGGCATCGAGAAATGCTCTGTACGTATAAATATGAAGACCGTCGATCCTCGGATACGGCAGTCGCGGTATTGGCGGCGGCGGAGAAACAGACTTAGTACGGAAATCTGCGGCGGAGTATTTGTAGGATTTCCAGGAGATTCCGGCGCCGTTGACGGCTGGTTCCAAGGCGATAAAGCCTAGAGTGACCATGATAGGTTCGAGCTCGTCATGCGTCATGATTGGCTTGAAGGTTTTGGTTAACCAGAGGGCTAATTTTCGCATGGACTCCCTCAGGCAGTCCTCCATTACAGACGGCGGCGGCGCTCCGGCGGCTCAATCAGAAGAGAAACTGGAAAATCGATGGGTTGAGTGAAGGGGAAGTAGAGGGAGAGGTTTTAAAGAGATTTCTTTGGGAGGAAGGGATCTTGAATGTAGGGATTTGAGGGAGAATTTTTTGAGGGGGCAAGTTTGAAGGGGACTGCTTTCATTTGCCCTCCATTTTTCATTAAATTACTTAATCGCCACTATCCATTTTTTTTTCTTTTTCTTTTTCCTTTTTTAGATTTTACCCCAAAAAAAATTAAAAAAAATATAAAAAGAGTTATTTGTAGTTTTTTTTTTTTAAATTTTTTTTATCGGCCTCTCGTGCGAAGAGCGTTAAGACCTAAAACCTCAAAAAAAAAAAATTATTATTTACCTCAACGAGAAAATTAAAATTTTTATCGGTTTGCTCGGGTATTAATATCTTAGTTTAAGAAAGTGTCTGATTTCTAACATTGCCTACGATCACACTATCAGTCTGCTCGGGTCGTAATACGTTGCTCGCCCACAATCGTTCTTATTTACAAAATACCTAAATTCATAATTCATTTTTTTTCGTATTACGTAATTAAAAATTGTCACGAGACTCATCTTTAGACCTAAATAATTAGT